TTTTTATTTTATTTTATTTTATTTTATTTTATTTTATTTTTACCATTAGCAGCCAGTTGCTTCTTTTGTGTGTGATTTTACTGGTTTTCTTTGTTTTTAACAAACTTGAGAACAATCTGTAAAATAACATTTACCAACAAATACGTACAGTTTTTAAAATCTCAATACACATAATTAGTTTTTAAACACTTGACAAAAGCTGTGTAACAAAAATGTAGAAAACTTGTGAATGAAAACAGACACCAGCAGCTCCGATTTGATGATTAATGTTGGTTTTATTTTACCCTGAAGACTCTGACGGGCGCTGACCTCTGGCCTCTGAGTGGTTTTAATGTTGTGGCTCATCGATGTTAACAAGAGGAACCAGAATGGAACTGGGCCCAGAGGAACCAGAATGGAACTGGGCCCCGAGGCCAACAGACCAACATCTGGAGCATCAGCTCGGCTTCAGTGCAGCTCGCTGTGGTTCTGTAGCTTCTGGGGGATTTTGGTTGCCGGTGGCGGGTCGCTCGGTTCGTCGGCTTTCGGCGGGATAGTCGGTGATTTAGTTTTTTTATTTGATTTGTTTCCGTTCTGGGTTTTGCTTTGCCGCCGCCGTCGTCCTCGTAGAGCAGCTGGAGCGGATCGAGGAAGGTCTGGATCAGATCAACTCGGACATGAAGGAGGCGGAGAAGAACCTGACGGACCTGGGGAAGTGCTGCGGCCTCTGCTCCTGTGATAAGTAGGTGGATGAACTGTGTTCTGGTTCCTCTCAGGTGAGTCGACGATGATCCACAGGACGCTGAATAAATCATCATCAGTCAAACAGTATCACCAAAAACAGTCTCACGTAAAATAGCTGATAAATGTTTATAAGCATCAAAATGTCTTTTTATTTATCATAAAACACACTCAGAAATGTGTTTTCATTTAATAAATGTTTCCATTTTATTTAACAAATGACATCATTAAGTTTAAATCAAATATGAACGGAAATATATACGTCTAAGATTACACACAATAAAAGCATCAGTTCTGACTATCTGAACTAATAATAATAATGATAATAATCATAATAATGTTCAAAAACTGTAAAACTAACTTTTAGTGGAGGTAACTAAAGGTTAAACTGTGATTTTATGGTCACACGTTGATAAATAAACTAATATTTGTAAAAATACAAATAATTTATAGTTTTGGCCCATTTTTGACAGTTAACGTGTAAATTCATCTTTTTTTCTGTGATTTCACTACAAATGATCTGCAAGTCTGAAAAATAACTTTTATAGTTTTAATACATATTTTTATTTTACATATTTTTCTATCATATCAGGGAAAACGTATGTCAAACAACATGTTTTGCCGATTTAAATGTAGTAAAAATCATTTAAAGAATAATAATAATAATAATAATAATAATAATGATAATAGTAATAATGAGCCCGTGCTGAGCCTCGTTCTTTGGTTCTTTAGCTGCTTGTAGATGCTGTTTGTTTTGCTGCTTGATGGATCTTCAGCTCGTTAAACCTGAACTGATTCAGCCTGATGCCAGGTTCTGGTATAAGCTGACCCAGGTGGTCCAGGGGTCTCAAACTCACCGTACCCGGCCCGCTGGACGTAGAGTCTGGAGGAGGCTGGGCCGCATCACGTACTCCATAAAAGAAGGGTTTCGATTTTCTCCGTCTTTATTCGTAACAATTCAGAACATGAACATTCTTCAGAACGTTGGCTCCTCCTCCCTACACAGCTGGACCACATCTGGCTGGAGGGAGGAAGTAACTGAGAGCCTCAGTGTGGCTTGAAGATGCTCATCAGTCAGTCTGGACCTGAACTTTGACTGATTAAAGCTTATGGTGGAGAAGAGCAGAAAACAAAACACCCGTTAGCACTGGGTGACACTCGGGTGTATGTTCCCTCCACTCGGTGACGCTCCCCAATCAAGTGACCAGCGTTGCTAATTAGCGTTGCTGTCACGAGCCTCAGCTACGGTAGCCCACAGGGGATAAAAATATAAAACGTCCCGGGCAACGACTCACACAGAAAAACTCGCGGGTCGCGCTAACGTTAAACTCTGATGTCAAGTAGGGGCCACAAGGTAGCATCCAGCCGGCCTCAACTGGCCCACGGGCCACGAGTTTGAGACCCCTGCAGAGAGTCTGGTAACGGTTATAAGAACTGATGTGGCTGTAAATGACGCTGATCGCTGAACAAAAAGACATTTTGTTTGTTTGTTTGTGTTGTTGTGTTCTAGCTGCTCTGTAAAGCGTCTCTGAGCGTCCTGAAAACCCTAAATGTGTGTTATTATTATTTATTGTTATTAATGTTGGACGTGACACTTTTAGCGCCGTTAAAACCCGACACGCTTATGTTTAGTTACTTGATGACACAAAATTTAACATTTTTTAGCCAAACATGAGCTCATTATAAACCAGAATTTGGCATCTTTGTTGGTTTTAGCTGCAAATAAACAGGAAAACGTGACACTTTACAGAAACTTTCCTCCACTTTAGAGGATCAGGGTCACGTTAGACAGTTTAACAGAATCAGAACGCTGTGGTTGTGCGTCAGGCTGAAGGCCTTCGAGGAGAGCGGCGCCTACAAGGCGGTGTGGGGCGGAGCCTCCGGCCAGGACGGCGTGGTGTCCAATCAGCCGCCGTCGTCCCGCGTGGTGGACGAGCGGGAGCAGATGATGATGAGCGGCGGCTACATCCGCAGGTGAGGCGGCTGTTGTTTGCTCGGCCTCGCCGCACAGCTGCTCAAACAGACGGCGCACAAAAGCCTGAGGCGTGTCGCTGTGCTGCTCCCTGCAGGGTGACCAACGACGCCCGCGAGGATGAGATGGAGGAGAATCTGGCCCACGTGGGCAGCATCATCGGCAACCTGAAGAGCATGGCCCTGGACATGGGCAACGAGATCGACACGCAGAACGTCCAGATCGAGCGCATCCAGGGGAAGGTAGGCGACGCCGAGTAAAGACCACGACCAGGTGGTAACAAAACAGACACCAAGGTTCAGAGTTTAAAGCACAAATGACAGGAGGGGAGGGTTCAGACATCACTGAAGGAATAAAAAGAAATAAAAACTCCAATAAAACCAGAAAAACCTGATAAACGTGTGTTAAAGAGCCTCAGTCGACCTGAAACTAATAAAAGATCAAAGTTACTGGATGTAAATTATTTCACAGATATTTACTTTTCTTAAAGTGGAAAATGATGTATATTAAGTAAATCAAATCATTTTTAAACTGTTTTATTAAATTACAGATAATAAGTCGTATTCTTTTACACGCCGACTGTAAAAAACAAAAAAAGTTCAAATTGTAAATAATCTTTTGAAAGTAAAATTACAGCATTTTTATTGCATTTTAATCAGCAAAAAAATTCATTAAATTTATAGATATTTGCTGTTATTTTAAAGAAAAGTTATGTACATTAAGGTTATTATTATTTTAACTGTTATTTTACAGAAATGTCCTGTTTTGGTGAATTAATATCTAACAAAATTAATTTACATTTAGAGTTTTTAAAAAAAAGGTCAGATCTGTAAATAACGTCCACGTTAGAAATCTGCATTTTAAAAAATAGTAATTTGTCATTTTACAGTGTTTAAATGTAAAATTACAGTTTTACACGATTAAAATCAGATTAAAATGAAGCAGTTTTACAGTTTTTAAGCATGACATTATTTTTTATTTTTTCTGCATTTTTTTTTGCAGATTTTTGCTTCTTTTTTAACAGATTTTTCTTTACAGTGCAGAGCAGAATTTTTTTATTGATATTTCGAAAATATATTTTTAATTTATTTTATTTTTTATATAAATAATAATATAAATAATATATACATTTAAGTTATAATTTAATATTTTAGAACATTTTTAATGATGTTAATTTGTTGTTTTACATTTGATGTAAAATTATTTTGTTATTCTTTTTTTAAAAAAAGAATGTTACAGCATTTCATTGTTTTTTTTTGTTTTTTTTTTAAATCATACTTTTTTGGGCCACATTTTTAGTTTGCTTTTGAACCGATTTTTATTGATTTTTTAAAAAATTATTTTTTTGTTTTTTATTTTTTACAGTGTACAAAAGGTGGCATTTAGTCCAGAGATGAAAGAAACAATTTTTCTTTCTTTTTTTAATTGTTTGTCTTTAACAGAGCAGAAACACACACGAGAAGCTAACATGTTTTTTTGTTTTTATCGTACTAACATCTGGAACATCCTGGATTTCACTGGTTGCATTAAAACTTTGCTGCTTTGGAACCACATTTAGATTTAGTGTTTTTAACAACATGTCTGCTTCTTGCTCCTCTGCAGGCGATCCTCAACGTGTCGCGCATCGACGCCGCCAACCAGAAGGCCAACAACCTGATGAAGCGATAGAAGCCTCCTCGCTACGCTCTGCTTCCTGTTTTGTTTTTTTCTGCTTCGTGTTTCTCGTCGTTGATCTGCTGCGACGCTTCGACTCGGCTTTTCTTATTCATATTGACTCCTAGAATCCTCTCAGAAGGATCACGCTGTGGGACTCTGACGCCTTCATAACGACACGTTCTGGGCAGAACGTCAGATGTTTGGATGCTTTGAACACAAGAAGAACACAGCGAACAGCCGAGGCCTTCAGGAGCGACTCCACCTGTGACGGAACACCAGCACCAGCCCTCCTCCCGTCCTCTGCTCTGACAGGAAACCAGTGGCGCCATCTGCAGGCCCGGTGGCGAACTGCTCGTCACGTATCCGTCCCCAGAGGAGGATCTCTGGCGACACCCGGTGGACAAACGTGGAACTCGTTCCTCCAGCTTGTCCATCTTCTTCTTCTCCGTGTTCATATGAAATGGTGGCGTCTGCGGTGCTGTAATCATCTCCTACAGAGCGTTTACTGGATATTTAATGTGTTTATTTGTGCTTTCTGTGGCTGTTTCTGCTGCGTTTTACTACGAATGTGTGAGTTTTCATGGTGATATAACGATAAGCTGTGTTTAAGGTGCTGGTGTTAGTCATGAATCTGCGTTATTGTCCTGCGGCCCCACTGGGGAACCTGCATGCTGGTGATTATTGTGATTAAAAATATGAACATTATGAATAAAAAAGGTGTGCTAAAGAATACGGCGTGGACGTATTGATCGTGTGGAGACATTATGAGCATCATGAGGAGGTTCAATCAGCAGTTTTTGTCCAAGAATAAGAGCTAATCAGGCAGAAATGGTGATTTTGTTGTTAGAAATACAGGAAGTAGGATTTAATCATGTGGATTAAAGTGAGGAAGTGTCAGGAGGGCAGTTATGAGACAGTTTAGTGAGTTTTTTCTGTCATGAAACACCAACAACGGGAGGTAACTGTGCAGAAATATGACGTGCATTCCTGCAGATGAATGAACGTCTGATTGGGAGGAACCACTGCGCTGCCCTGCTGGCTTCAAACACCAACGATAGGAGCTGATCGGGCAGAAGTTCTGAGTAGAAGTGCACAGAAATACGACGCCTTTGGTTAACTTGTGTGGACTAAAGGGAGGAGGTATCTGGGGAGCGTCGTCATTAGGTTGAGTCAACAGTTATTATTCTGTTTATCTGCAGAATTTGTGATTTTTGTGCAAAAAACAAAGTGACAGAAATGTGTTTTTAAAGCTTTTATTCATCACATTCAAGTTCCTCAAAGGTTCCTCCAGGAGAAAAGTCTGAAAAAATCACAGAAAAAGTCGCATCTTCGTCTTAATTATGCCGAGCATTGTGAGAACATGTAATTAGTTATTTATCGTCAGGAGACACCAACAACTGGAGTTAAGTCGTGTGAACTTCAGAATAAAAACGTGCACAAGTTAATTAGTGCAATAGATACTTATTGTGCTAAAGGAGAGAAACCGTCCTCATCGTAACGGCATTTAAGCGTCAGATTTAATCAAGAAACACCAACAACAGGAAGTGATCTGCAGATCTTTTTGTGTAAACGGAAACAGAAGTCTGGTGACTTTGGACAGATTGGTCATGTGGAGGTGATCACGATGAGGTTTCTACTGAAATACCAACAATATGTTTAGAATCTGCAGCTTTTCTGTGCACATGTGAGCACAGATATACGACATAGTTGGATTAATTAAGCGTTACGGCAGCTAGGAGCATCGTCAGAAGGTTTAATGAGTGTTTTCTTTACATTAAGAGTTAATTGTGCAGATTTTTTTTTTGCGTGAAAGTGTGCAGCGTATGGATCAGGATGGATTAATTACAGTGACGGGTGATAATTACGAGCACCGTACAGATGTTTAATATTCAGATTTGTCATGAAATACCAACATTTAGAGTTAACTTTGCTGAATTTTTGCATATAGAAACACAGCATAAGTGGTCTGGGGGCGATCATGAGCCTGATAAGAACGTCTAATGTTCAGTTTTTTTATTAAATATTAGCAAAAAGTGCATGAGTATGTAAAAAAAAATATAGTGTCCATAACTGTGGGCAGGTAATTATTAGAATTAAGTAGAGGGGTTATTAAAGTATAGAAGTTTAATCATCGGTTTATGTCAACAACACGAGATAATCGTGCACAGACGTGTGACGTGCACGTCTTTGGAGAAACCACGAGGAAGGAGGAGTCGTCTTCATAAAACACCAACCACAGGAGTCTAATTTGCACCATTTTTGCGTAAAGCTGAGCTCAGAAACACAACGTGCACTCCTGCGAACAACCTAACTGCATAGTTTTGCAGCATCGTAGCGTAGTTTTAGCGTTTTGTTCTCCTGAAACACTAACGATGAGCGTTAACGGTGCAGAAATACGGCGTAAACTCCTGATGCTACATGATGAGGTGGAGGGGGAGGAGTTACAGCAGCTTATGTCAACAAACACAAACAGTACGTGCACGTGTTATTGGACAGACTTATGGCGTGCATAAATTATGAGTTTTTTGATAAACTTTATTACTAAAATACCAACAGCTGGAGTCGATCGTGCTGATTTTCTTTTTTGTGTAAAAGCGGTTTTGGACACTTTAATGAAGTTTGTGGGTTGCTGTGAGCATCCTGATGAGCTCTAATTATCAGCTTTATTAATTACATGCCATTAAAGTGAGCTACTTCGTGAGTTTCTGTGCTGCACGCTGTGGTCCGGGGCAGAGGGGGGCGCGCGTCCGCCTCAACGTGTTGCGCGTTCAAGAAAAAAAAAAGAGAGAAAAAAAAATAAAATCTCGCGCGCCGCGGAGTCTGCGCATTTCGCTGGTTCTCCGTCACTCCGAAGTTTCGGGAGCCGCGCGGAGGAAGGAGGGGAGAACTGCGCCATTTTAAGCTGGTAATTATTTCCAACCTTATTCCGCTTTTTTTTGCCCCCCTACGCCGCTCACCGGCGCCGTTCGGCCGCAGCGCGTCGCACACGGGCCGTTTCGGCGCAGAGAGGAAGCGACACTGCTGCGCGATGAAACTAAAAATAAAGCCGAGCCGGAGCTAGCCGACATTTCGTCCTCTGTCCGGGGCACCAATAGCTCTACTTAACGCGGCGGAGGACGCTGAACCGACGCGACGGGCGGCTTCAGCGGCTCCCGCTCAACGTTCACGGCGAACTCGCGGTTTCGTACCGACGTCGTGAGCTAGTCCGGTTCGGTGGGCGTCGCGCAGAGCCCCGGCGGAGCGGACCGGAGATGGCGGAACCGGGGGGCAGCTCCCCTCCGGTTACCGACGGGCAGCCGGCGGAGAGGCAGGCGCGAGCTCAACAAAGGCTCAGCAGCGCCGCCGCTGATTGGCTCCCAAAGAACCGCGTGACCAGAAGTAGCGCAGTGTTTATGTTCCCCAGTCATTCATAGTAATGGGAAGTTTTTAACGTTTAAACTGTTAACGGATCCACGCGTTGGGCAGTTTAACAGCGCAAGAATTCACAATAAGGTAGCAATAATTTATGTTATTATTTATTGTGTTTTGGCTTTTTAATTTAGCAAAACAAACAGAAGATTAAATCATCAGGTTTTTAAAAGATTAAAAAAATAATTAGTGTCCAAACAGGTCCAGGTAGTTTTAGAATTACAGAAAACACAACCTCATTAAAAATTAAACTTCTCCGATCAACCCAAGATGATTGATTTTCTCAGGTTTCAGACCGTTTGGGCTGCATTTGGGCCCGTAGAACCACCAGGACGACTCTCACAGCGCTCACCGGTGTGTACGATGCCAAAAGGTTAAAGGCAGAGCTGGGAGGGAGGCCAGGAAGCTGGACATCTACCCAGAAAAACATCCTGGAAACCAGCTTAAAGAGGATAAAACAGGAAGGACGTGGTCATGAGCGTACGCCGTTCGATCGATCGATTATTGATCAGACGCAACGACACAAACAGATTAACCTGAGAAGCTCTTGTCATATTAAACCCTGCAACTCATCCATCAATCTGTTCATTATTTCTGACCGAACAGTTTTTAGTTCAGGATGGCGAATGTTTTGAGGAGGAATAAAAACATAAAATATTCATATTTAAGGCGCTGCAATCACAGAATTAATTTGTTCAAGAAAAAAAACGCTCAAACTAATTAAATCAAAATTATTGGCAATTAATTTGATGGTTTCTAATAGTTGATGAAAAGGCCAGAACATGTGGTAAAGATGGATCCAACAAACCATTAGTCATCTTTGGGGGTTTTTTTTCCTGGTGTTTATGTTAAAGTTCCACCAGGAGGGGGCAGTGTAGCGACACATCCTGGAGAAAAAAAAACAAGACGTTCCTTCTCATGTTTCTGTTTGTGCTGCCTCGATTCCTCCTCTGCCATCGCGTCGTCCCGCCCCGAGGCGCGAGGAGACGCGAGCCGAGCCTCCTCCGTCCTCCTCCGCCGGGCTTAGCGCTGAGTCTCGAGGATGGAGGAGGAGGCTGCTGTCATAGCGACAAGCGAGGACGCGCAGGTGTGTCCTCGCATTATTGAAATCCTCAAGTCTTTTAAAGACACATAGCTGGATCATAGAAACGTCTCCTCTGTCCTCGAGATGCACACGAGGTCGATTTCGGGGTCGCAGGCAGGAGGTCAGATTAAACAAGGAGGCTCGAAATTTAAAAAAAAAAACCCCAAGCTTCTTCGTTACGATCCTGGAAGCTGCTTCAGTTAAAGCTGTTGCACAAATAAACATCCTCACTTGTGTTTGTTTTTCTATCTTTTGTCCATTGTTGGCCATAAAACTTGTATTTATTTGCCTCGATGTGGAAAATTTTTGGACTGGATGCTGTTGTGCTGCCACCAAGTGGTGACCAGGAGCATCTACAGCACAGAATATTACATAACAATAGTATTATCTGGAGAGGTTTACATAAGAGAGAGGTTTACATAAAGCAAAGGTGCGAGTCTATGACCATAAATCTGGATTATTGTGAGCCCGTGTGCAGCAGTAAAACAGAACCGAGCTCCTGATGTGGGTCCAGGTTTGGTTTGTTGTGTGTTTCTAGTCTTTCAGTGGCGAGTTTTCTTTCTTTTCTTTCATCCGTCGCTCCTTTATTCATTCCCCGGGTTGTTAAATGATCTTTCCAGGCCCTGTGCAGTCAGGCGGGCGACTCCAGTCCGGACTGGCAGGTCAATTGGGACCGGGCAGTCCTGGAGGGCGGCGGTGAAACCGGACCGAGCGCCGGCGCGCAAGGCAGCGGCGGCGGCGGTGACGGCGGCGACGCCATGTCGTCCACGTGGCGGGAGGACGACGAGGAGTTCAAGGTGGGAGGAGGAGGAGGAGGAGGAGGAGGAGGAAGAGGGCTGAGGGCCAAGCCGAGGTTCTCCTTCACCGAGGTCAAGCTGCTGCTGGAGGCGGTGAAGAGGAACCGATACATCATCCTCAGTGAGCTGAACCAGATCCTGTACTTCATGTTCTGATGTTTCCACCTGGTTTTGCTGATGCAGATTGCACAGAAAACAAATATCCACATTTAAAGCAGCCATGTTTATTTCACATAGCAGAGCTGTCAACCTGGGCCCATGTTTCACTGTCAGACCTTTTATCTGATGATGAAGCCGCGTCGTCCTGCATCCCTACTGAAGACTCTCTCACCGTCCATCTGGGAGAAAACACACGATAGCTCGGGTCTGAGCCCACGACTGTAACCTTTGGGTTTATTGTTAATTTTTCCCCCAAAAGAAACGCAGTTTTGAAACAAACACGGAGTCCCATCAGAAGCCCATTTGGTCTAGAGCTACGACATTTCATAGGCATATAGAGCTGGTCGGCACGAACAAAAAAGTCAACCAGCGCCAAGCTCTGAACTGCAACACGACTCAACAGCGCCCCCTATAATAGTTCAACAGAGTCCCATCGGGGCTACGTTTCACCTAGAGCTACGAAATTCGACACACATATGTAACAACTTGTGACGCACAAAAAATCCATTAGCATGTTTCTGTAAATCCAACAGGAAATCCGCCATGTTGGAAAAACGGCGAGCATTATGGGTGATTTTCGCTCAATTTTGGCCATTTTAAAAATCTCCTTCCTACAGGGAAGGTCGTACACGCCTGAAATTTGACCACCACAAACTACAGGAGGCGGTGATTAAACGTTAGTAAAACGGTCCGCAAAAGTCTGACGGCGAGGAAATGGCGGCCCGAGCAATTTGGCCACAACGCTATAAAACACCATAAAACGAGCCGTGCTGTGTAACTGGCCTGTCTGTGCTCCGATCGGCCTGAAACTTTACACGCGTGCTCCGAGTCTCAGCCAGAGCGCGTTTCCGCCACGGCAAACACGCACGCCGCCGCAGCTCGCCACTAAACAGGAAGTGGCTCGTATCTAGGCCGCACGTGCTCCGATCTGCCCCAAACTCAACAGATCAGAGTCCCGCTCGGAGCACGTTTCTACTGAATCCCAACGTGCGCGATGGCCGACTATCATACAGCGAGGACCCGACCATAATTATTCTTACTTTCTACCAAACGCTAGCTTGAGTCTTTGCTTTAGAAAGGAGCGTTTTTTTTATGTTGACCAGGATGTTCCTCGGCTCAGAATCAACCTTAAACAGTAAAGCTACTTAGCTCGTGTTACCCTGTTTGAAAGAAAAGTTTTATTTTCCTGTTAATTCTGAGTTTTTAATGAACAAAAATGTCTATATTACATGTGTAGAGTCACAGCACCACTGAGGCTAAGTTCGTTAATCATCGGCGCCCTTAATGACCAGATGTTTAATCCTCCTCTGTGCAGGGAAGTTCAACCAGGGAGTGTCGGCTGAAACCAAGAAGCAGACGTGGACTGAAATCACCAACCAGATCAACGGGCTGGGAGAGAATCACAGAGAGGTTCGATCAGAGTCTGTTCATGCTCAGCAGGATGTTTATGGGATGTCTGGCTTTTACGCTTAGATGTAATTATAATTAAATCAAACTAAACCTTTGCAGAGCCGTGATATTTATCACAGTCAGCTGGACTTTAATGTCATGAAGTCATGTTTGTAGAGTTTTAATCCTCTATATGTGAATATGACTCTGTTATTTTACTCCATAAACACCATCATAAGGACCCTAACCCTGATGTTTTACACTTACTCTGTACTTCTTCTGCTCGTGTTTCTCTAAACGTGGTTTATAAATAACAGCGACTCGGCTGGAAGCCAGAGAAACACAGACAGAGATAATAAAGTTCTGCTGACAGGATCTGCAGCAGAACCAGGTTCAGCCGCCTCACACAGAAAACAAGAAGAAGTCGATATTATTAAGTGTGAAGTATATTTAGAACACCTTCCCAGACAGGAAGCGCTTTTATTACTGTTTGACTTTGGATCTAGACCGACGAGCTCGATCCAGAGAAACTGAACCAGCCGAAGGATTTACACGATGACAGGTGGTTTAAGAGCAACACTGAGCTGCAGAAATCAGGTTTTGGGTCCCGTTAGCCCTCTCACGGACCTGCAAACTCTCCAAACATGAAGGATGAGGACTTGTTTTGTATGAAAAATGTAAAACAGGTGGTTTATTTTGTCCGATCAGCTCCCCAGAACCTGCTAATATTCAGTTTATTACGATGCAGAACCAGTTTGGTTATGGTTCGTTAGATAAATGACTAGTTGACGGTGAATTAAACTAATTAGTTAAGTAGCAGCACGGAAAGAAGACATAAATATTTGTATTTATTTAAAAAAAGAACCAGTTTACAGCCTTTTTACACGCGAGTTAAAAATATAGAAATTAAAAAAAAAAGAGAAATACAGAAGAAGAAAAGAACGAGAAGCTGCTCATCATGTGCTCATAAAGTTGTTTTTAGAATAAATAGAAGAGGAATAAAGGCAGAACAACAAACACGATGCTCATTTTACTGCTAAAGAAAAGTCGGTTGTTCATAAAAAGTCCACAAACGACAACAAAAAACATCTTTCTAGTTAAACATTTTATACTTTCTGTGTTTTTTTTCCTCCTTTACAGAACAATAGTTGCAGCTCTTTGGTATTTATTGAACCAGTGCTCATCTTTCTCTCTCTATATATATATATACGTTTAACAAATCGTGTTCTTTTGGACTCGAGCTCGTTAGAAACGACCCGTCTGTGATTCTCCTGCAGGTGCGTCAGATCATGAAGAAGTGGGCCGACCTGAAGTGTGACGGGAAGCGTCGCATCGCGGCGCTGCGAGGCCCCAACGGCAGCAACCTGAGGAAGAAGAGGCTCGGCCCGGTGGAGAGGATGGTCCACAAGATCCTGATGATGAGCCCCCGAGGAGGTGACTAGAGACCAGAGACACGCTCCTAGTCGGGCTCCAGACCCGTCCGGATGTTTTTAAACTCCAGCTTCAAGGAGTTGGTGCTAAAATTGATCCAGAATGAGGCTGAATTATAGTTTTTATTTGATTTAACAGCTTAAAATGAGGAGTTTCTGACAGCAGATGGACCCGATAACTTCCTTCTATAGACCCTAAATGTTCACCCAGTAAATGGGGTTTAATTATGGTTAATTAGTGATTAATTATCCTGTTAACGAGGAGGTAGATACTGAGGGACTTCAGCTGATAAACTTACACGTTAATGTTCTGCTGGTTTAATGTGAAGCGTTTAAGTCAGAAGTTTATGTTGACTGCATTAAAAAAAAAAAAAAGTTTAAATATATGATAAGACCCTCACGGTACTAGGGACACTTTTTTATTCTTTATTTATTTTTATTTGTTTTATAATTAATTATTATATTTTTTTTATTTGTGAATTTTTTATTGTATTTTTAAAAAATATTTTATAAATATTTTTGTGATATTTATTTTTTATTAATTCCCAATTTTATTTATTTTTAATTATTATTATTTTTATTTATTTATGATTTTTTGAGATATTTAGTTCTTTTTTTTTAACAGACATTTATTATTTAATTTCTTTTGAATATCTAATTATATATGAGTTTTATTTCTGGGATGTTTTCTTTTTCTTTTTTCCTGTTTTATCTTCAGGACCAGCAGCTACATCTGAGGCTCTAAATATCATTAAACTTTTGTTGTGAGATTGTTGAAGCGTCAGTGTGTCGGCAGCATACACACTTTTAATTAATTAAAGAATATATTTGTAGACATTTTATTTCCTGCTCACAGCGACATGGTGCTTTTATTTTTATATTTTTCTTATTCCAGTGATAATTTTCCGTCTCTGTACCTCATATTGCTGAATGACACGTGGTAATTCAGGGACTTTGGTATGTGAGGGTTGGTTCTGTGTATCAGTGATAAATTAGTCCTAATGAGCTTCGTTAAACCCTGAACCAGTTGGTTTTTACGTCTCGTGTGTCCCCAGACGGCGACAGCGACCTGGACCTGGGCGAGGACGACGACGGCGGCTCGGCTCTGGGCGCCAAAGGCTCGTCCTCCAACCCGCTGGCCTACTCCTACCTCAGCCTCGCCGACGGCTCCCCGCCGGGCGGAGCCTCCTACGACATCTCGCCGCTCTCCTCGCCGGAGAAGGACCTCGGCGGTGAGTCGGCGTTCAGCGACGGCTCGGAGGGAGTCAGAACTTCAGTAGTTCATCATTTAGGAAGCTCTGCTGCTGCTTCCTTGTTGTAAATGTGATTTTTGTTTGTTTTTTTGTGTTGTGTTTTGCAGGCGATCCGTTTCATTCCTCGTCCGACTTCGACCAGGCTGAAGACGGAGGTGAGAGTCGACTTTTGTTGTTCATGTAAATTCAGACGACATGAGCGCGTTGCATCCATTTGCTGATTTCAGACGCTTATTCATCGATTTGTAATAAAATAAAATGAAAAAATAAATAAAAATAAAAATAAAATTAAAAATTAATAATTTAAAAATAAATGATGTATTTTTGAAATTAATGAAAAATATAAAATTAAAAATATAAAAAAATTTAAAAAATAGTAAGGAAAGAAATTAAAAATAATTTTAAAAAGAATTAATAAAAATAAATAAATATTTTGAAAATTTAAAAATAAAAAACTAATATAAACATTAAAACGTAAATAAATTTAAAATAATAAAAAATAATAAAACAAAATGTTAAAAAATAGAAAACGTAAATTAAAAATAATAAAAATAAAGAAAAAATAAAGAAAATAATACATAAGTAAAATAAAGTAATATTATTTTTATTATTTTATTTATTTGTCTTTATATTTCTACTTTTATCAGCCTTTTCTTTTATGGATTCCTTTGTGATTAATATTACTGTTTATCGCCACATTATTTATTTTTTATTTTATTTATTCTTCTTTTTATTTCCACTTTTATTTTATTATCCTCTTATTGATTTATTGTTGTAATGTGGCCTCTCACTGCTCCATAGTTTCCATTTGCTGGTTAAATTTTAGCCGTTAAGTCTGTAAAAAGCCAGAAAATGAAAAATGTGGATTGTTTTGTGCAACGATGTTCAGTTTACTGTCGTGGAGGAAAAATAAGGTGCTGCAATCACGTCATTTAGACTTAGGCCTGATTAGAAAGACGATGACTAACCGACTAATCGTTGCAGCTTTAGCTTGTAAACCTTCTAAAGGAGTGAATATTGGTGAAATCAGTCCGTGTGATGTGAAGCTATCGTCCCATCAGTGAGGAATAGACGTGTTTAAATGTAAATAATCAACACCTGCTGTCGTCAAACCTGCAAAAAGCAAAACTAACGTCCTTTAAAACGTTGATTTGATCGACTCGCTGCTTTTGATACTGAGCGTGTGCAGCGGCGCTATCGGGACATCTGGACGTCTGCTGCCAGCTCTTAATGTGAAAACAGGAAACACGAGTGATGGACGGTTTAGGAAACGCTCGCAGATAAAAGGCTGGAAGGAAACGTTGAAGATATCATCACATGTTGACGTTTGGACTCCTGACAGACGCCAGCTCGTGTTTTCAGGTTTTATCTTCTGAAGCCTCGCGTCAGAAAACGTCGAAAGAAACGAGAGAGTGGACGTAGATGTTAGAGATGTTCAGAATGATGTTGGGATGTTTGACTCTTAAATCCACATGATGCAGATGTTTACTTGTGTTTCTGCTCATTGCGACGTGCTGCAGTAGAAAAAAGGTTTTTATGCTCACTGGAGGTGTTCTAAACATCTGCAGTGAATATTTACTGATGGAGCAGTGAGAGGCCACATGACAAAAATAAATCGGTAAAAGAATAATAAAATAAAAGTGGAAATAAAAAGAAGAATAAATAAAATAAAAAATAAATAATGTGGCAATATAAAGCAATATTAATCACAAAGGAATCCAAAAAAGAAAAGGATAATAAAAGTAGAAATATAAAGCTGCATAAATTCAATAATTTTTAAAAATTACTTTTTTTAATTTATTTATATTTTTGTATTTATTTTTTTATTATTTGTTTTTTATTATTACAATTTTAAAATGTATTGTTTTTTGTTTTAAATTTACATTTTTTTTCATTTTTATATTTT